CCCTCGCTGTGAGGCCATGAATTCCCTAAGGTCCTCTCTCAGGCCGCTAACCTCTCTGGCCAAATTGTCGGTAGCCATTGATGCTACTTGCTGTGTTGGTAAACAAACGTTGTCCCTCAAATTTAAGATTATATCCAAGGCAGCTCTCGCCTTGTCCACGGTGGGAGGGACGGTCATAGTGCCGACATGTGTGACCATTGAAGGATCCCGTAGCCCACGTAAAAACTGCCTAAAACCAATGGCATCTCGTGTGGCCTGGTCTGCCATTGGAAAACTTTTCGCCACCAGTTTCTTGATGTCGGTAGCGTACTCAGCACTGGTTTCTGTTCTTAGGAACGTACGTTTTTCCAACAGATTTTGGAAGAAAGCTGGTGTCCTATGATCCTGGAACCGATTGGCGAGGGCCTCTTTAAGTTTCTCGTACGTCTCTCGCTCTTCTTCACTTAATTCACTAAAAGCGAATTCAGCCGCCGAATCCTTCAAAACAAACCCCAAATAAAGGAGTTTCTCTTCCTCACTCCACTTGAAGATTTTTGCAGCTGTTTCAAACTGCACGATAAAAGTGTGCCATGTAGAGGTTCCACTGTACGTTGGGATGTTGTTTAAATACTGAGAAGTCATTGTGCTTGCCTTAGATTTTCCACACCTTGCACTTCTCATCTCAGTCCGGCTATCCAAGAATTTTGTCTCTTCAGAGTCGTTGCAAGGTTAACATCCCACCGCTGCCACCATTGTAATGAAACCTTGCTTACTATCTGACAAACTTCATCTAGATCTGGTACTCAATAAGGAAACAACTCCGGTGATACATTTGATGATTAAACTTGTGTTCTTTATTTGGTCTGTCACTTGCTTACACTTTCACTCATCTCCCAACTCTGACTTCTCCCTGATATCTAGTTCTCAGTCCGGCCGCCTTCTCTATGTCCGGCCGCGCTCCCTTTTTCTAACCATCCAGAGATCCCTATTTATACCTCCCCGTCCCATAGTTCCTCTCCCAGTCCAGGCGCCAGGTCTAGACGTCCCAGGTAAATGCCCTGGTCAGATGACTTGATCCGTCGATCGTGATCCCTGGTCAGCTGGCGCCGGCTGTACCTGTCAGACGGTGTAAGACGGCCGTTAATCCCTAGTCAGACGCCCCGGCTGAACTCTCCAACAGCCCAGAAGCTGGCTTGGAAAACTTACTTTTGAAACACAATCTCTTAGAGAGTAAACATGACATTCAAAGACTGGAGAGACAGGGTCAGTGTTGGAGTTCAATCTTCAGACAGTAAACGTTCCACTTGCGCCTGTCTGTCATGATTGGTATCCACAGTCAATTTCGTTCACTCGTGCTTTCGTCGTAAACAAACTGAACCAAACACACGTATTTTTTTCCAATACAAATATATACTTTAATTCAGAAACATATATTTCAGTGTGTACAGTGAATAAAACACATGTATAAAATAGTTAGCTTAATTAGAAGTAGAGACAAAAAGTTGTTTTCTGATTTTGAAATATGAAAAGAATATGTATGCTAAACTTAAATTCCTAGATAAGACACAATTAAAATATTTGAAAACTCGTTTTCGGACACATTCAGCGCAACGCGAAAATAGACGTAATAACTTTTTGGCAATATTTGTCGTAATCTCTAAAGTTGTTTATCTTGCTCTGTTAACTTGTTCTACTTCTATTTGTTTTGTTATCTGATGAAGGCTCTAAGCGGAAATGTCCAAATCTTTTGTCCTGTCTATCAATTCAAGTTTAGCATATCTTGTTCTTTTATTTTATTTACACAAAACTTGAATTTCGGCCGAAACCGAAAGCAGACCGAAAGTTAAAAATGAAACAGAAGCTGTAACCAAAGTTTTGTCAAGAATTACGGTCGGAACCGAAAATTTAAAGTAATTCAAAACATTTTTTCGGACACGTTATGCGCACAGCGAAAAATAACGTAAAAACTCTTTTTGGCAATATTTTTATCAAGTGACACTCATACATTTTACCCAAGGAAGTGAACACCCACCCTCCAATATTTTTGTGTGTTGCAGTGTCACTTTTACATTTTTAGTTTTAAAGGTGTTTAGAGTAATAAGATCAACACATTCTTATCTAGTTATCATTTAACCGATACACATTAGTTAATTAACATTTTGTATTTTATTTAACGATATAAGCCAAAGACTACATTTAAAAAATGTATACATACAATATAATTATGGATCTAGGATAGTATGCTTGAAACTTTAAGCTTTATTATAATCATTTATAATAATTTTCTTTAAAACTTTATATCTTTATAGCTAGACGTACACGTTTCATACGTTTATTTAACATTTTTGACAGTAATTTAACGCAATACTCTCATTTGTATAACTAATGTATTAGATATATATTTTCAACAGTTATTATTTATATATTGTTTTATATGTATGTTTCATTAATTATATGGCTACTGATTACTTTGCGACTTTGAAAGCATACAAACTCTGGAGTTGCTAACAGTTTTGATATACGTTTGCCAATGCGTGTTTCATCTTTGCCTTCACATTGACCCGAGCAATTACTGCACTTATATCTGCAGTCTATTCCATAGTAACCAGCATCACATGCTAAACATAAAGTTATAAAATCAACAGTGTTATTTAAATTACGTTTTGTATGATAACTATTTATAAAAAAAACAAACACAAAAAAGAAAAAAAATTCTGGAACTAATCCTCCCAACAAAGATTTGTTTAAACTTGCCACCAGGGACAATGATATATTAAACATTTACAATTCACAAAAATGTTTCGAAGACCGTGCGAGGGGAGTTGGAAATTGCATTTTTTTTTTTTAAACGAGATAGAAAATGTTTTGCCTTTCCAGGTCATATATGAAAATTAAGACTTGCTACCAAGGAATCTGGTAAGCCCTAAAGGCCGTTATATATATATACATATATATATATATATATTAAATTTAAAAAAAAGGATGTAGTGAAATATCCGGGGTCATAATTTAAAAGAGACATAAAACGGAATTTTCATTTTAACAAATAAATGTTTTACTTGTTATCAGAAAAGCTGATAACCTTTAAAAACCATCCTAGAGGAGGCATTGGGGTCTTCGTGTTTGAATTTTAAAAGTGTTTTAAAGCTTCTGAAACCAAAATATGCATGAAATAATGGACAAACCCATTTTAGAAATTCATACTTTTGTTACATCCTTGTCCATAAAATCCAGCTTTACATCCAGATGGACAATTTCCTGTACTAACAAAACACTTTTCTCCTGGTACAGCACAGTTACAGACATTTTCACAATCGTGGCCATATTTGAATTTATCTATTTGACACACCGAGTCTGAGAAAGAAAAAAAAAAAAGATGTTAAATTGTGAAGCTTTCAAATTTCGGTTTAGAGTAAAATTTCTTTAGTATACAACGATTACACATCATAGTTTTTTCCCTTTAAGTTCACTTTGCACTGTTATTTTTGCGAGACAGAACATGTGGGCTGAAACAACATTTATTATGCGTTTTACATTTGTGCGGAAAAGATTTAGTTCTGTTAGCACCATAGGATCCAGAGTTGCAGTTTGAAGATTTAGTTGATTCTACAATTTGAAAATTGCAAAATATAACTTGTTAAAATAAAATTCATACTTAATCTTTGATTTATTTTATGTTTTTAACAGCTGTTTCGTATAGTATAATATGAGTTTGGAAAGCTATTTAAAAAACTATATATATGCCCCCTTTTTTGTTTGTTTTCCTAATTGTTATCTACGTGTCTACAAACTAGTAGCTCTATAATAATAATATTAATAATTCTAATACTAAAATTATTTTAGAAGTCACATGTAATCATTATTAATCTTAAATTAAAATGGTGTACTAAAAGTGTTCCTCTTATACAAAATATACTTACATAGATCTAAACATTAAAGTTCTATAGTTAAATCATAAATGTAAATCTAATTTCATTTGAATTTATCATATAAATTCATAAATGAGATTATTAATCTATTTCTAATGATGCTGCCTCATTCTATTTACAACAAAAGTGATTTGGGTTCAAATTCTGCCAAGGACCCAGTCGAGAAAAGTGACCAGAGCCCCGGGTGGTTGGAACCCGATAACCTTGGATGGCAACTCATCTAAGGGAAGGAATCAAAACCCGGAGTAGTCCCATGCTACCTTGAGTTATCCAGCGGCGTTGACAAGGGCGACTTGATGTTTAGGGAGCAAGCTTATATTCTGAAAGAAACATATTATCCTGCCAAGTCTACACCATCGTAGAAGTTGACGAGGTTGCAATGATAATCAGATCAGCTGATAGTGTACCACTCTTTGAAAGAGATTTTCATATTTAGGTATCGTTCGAAAATTACGATACGCAAGAATGACCTTTTGAGACCCCTCCTCACCCCCTGCCCCAGAGTGAAACAAATTCTTTACCCCCCCCCCCCAACTTTCTTTAGTTTAACGTGACACCTCAAAACATACATACAACTTTCATTAAGAAACTAAGATTTTTGTATTACTTAACATTTTCCCATAATTGATTAAGATGTAGTATTACTAGAAAACTGTGACGTAAAACGTAAAACATAGACCTCCCTGAGCCGTAAGTAAAACTGTCACAACAGTTTTTGCATCATTTTTTGAGTGTGCAGAAGGTGTTTCACCTTACTTATAATACCTTAGGCAATTTCAACTTCAAAGTAATGACTTTAAGATAATTGAATAGAGATTTTTTTAAAAAATAAAAACAATGAAAATTAAAAAAAAAAATAAAAAAAAACGAAAGTAAACCATTTTTTTACCCCCCTCCCCCACCCCCCCCCCAATCTTAACAAAGTGTCACAAATGTTTGACCACTCTCCGCTCCCTGAGTGTGACGTTATTTGCGAACGACCTCCTTTCCAGGTAAGAAATAAAATCAGATGATATCATTTAACATATTGAAACCCAATCTTGTCCAAAACAAATGTCATTTAAAAAAAAAAAAATTGTCGATTTCGGTTAGAAAAGATGTATGTTTCCTCGATTTGAGTAATGATTCACTAAGGGTAAGAAGACCGCCTACAGTGATAAAAGTGAAATCTGCCCAATTATCAGTACGAATAAGACCATTGAATCCACCTTTATATTGTGATACATTTACCATGATCGTTTTCGTGGTACGAAACATACAGGTGCAATAGAAGATGTTAATTAACTAATGTATCAGTTAAAAAGTGAGAACATCTCGTATTAAAGTGTTATATAATTGAACTAATATAATGTTTTCTCATTTACAGTTGAACTAAAATTATTACGCAATCCAGAAAACATCCCCCCCCCCCAACGATTCCCTGCTTTTCAGCAAATGTGTTTATGTGTTGGTGATTCTTTTTATGATTCTGACTACAAAGCAAAGTTATCACAGATTTTGGGCCACCCTGTAGACAAAATTTTCATTTATTTTGCATTTATTTCGTTATTTCATTAGGTTGTTTTATTTCTCTTTATTTAATACATGATGTACACCCATTTTTGCGTTTTGTCAGTTAAACGGCCGGATATTAATAAAAAGAATGATTCTTTCATCTTGAAATGTATTGTCACTTTTTCATTGATTTCAATGTTTCGGGTTACGTATGTTTTGGGTTACGAACCAAGCTATAAAACTAAGTTCGTAACCCGAGGCACCACTGGATGTGGAAAAAAATGGTTGATAGATGTGCTGAAATCAAAATTTAGAATAATGATATTGATCTTTCTGAAATTGATAGAAAGATAATGCTCCGACCAGATTATACATGGACAACTTGATACATAGATCAAATTAAAAGGACCATGTAATAAATGGTACACATGATACATGGACTAGCTTGTACACGGAACAAAACATACACAGATCAGATGATACATTGACTAGATGATATATGGACAACATCATACATGATCCCTTTATATATGGACCAGATGATACGTGGAACAGATGATATATGGGCCACACAATGTATGGACAACACAAAATATGGACCAGATAATATATGGACCAGATGATACATAGACCAGATTATATATCAACCAAATGATACATAAAACACATTATAAATGGAACAGATGATGAATAAACCATATATGATGTATAGACGACATGATACATGGACCACATAATACATTAGCCAGATGCTAAATGGACAAGATGATACACGGACCAGATAATACCTGGACTAGATACTATAGGTATAAAATATATCTATATCAGATAATAAATTGTCGAGATGATGAATTGAAAAGATGACAATGTGACTAGAGTATAAGTTGATTGATTGATACATGAATAAGATTATTCACCGACAACATGATACATAAAATAGTTATAATTGATCAGATGATATTCGAATCACAATAATAATAATAATAAATGTATAAAGATACCTTTACAAATTAAAAAAACAGACTCTGAGATATAATGAAGGCTCACCATAATATAGATGTCGTTATATTCAGAATGAAAAAAAAAGGACAGAAAACTGATAGCAATATATTTGTTTGGTTTTATATAATACATTTATAAGCTGCAAATTCATTTGCCACATCAATATTCAATCGTCTTTAGGATTAAAGAGTTATAATACATTTTTCAATACATTTAAAAGAGTTGTTACGATGAAAACAATTCTACAAAATTTGGACATCCGATAAGTTTGTGCACCAGAACCAATAGGATACTATTTAAAAATAAAATGCAAAATTACTCTGACACTGTAGTCGTCTCGCTGTATCTCTGCCTGAAAAAAAGTTAATTTATTTTCAAAATGTAAAGAAAAACCTGCCTTGACAAATGACTAATATGTTTACTGATAGTACAACTCATTTGGGATGAAATTTAACGAAGTCAAATCAATTTTATGTTCTCCTTAAAGAAGACAGGTCTCCAACAAATATCAAATAATGAATACCTTAAAAAAAATTTCTGAAATAACCCAAAATGGTCACGACATAAGAACACAATTAAAAAAAAAAAGCCAACTCACACACTTGGTTTTATTCGAAACAATCTGCGCCATTGCCCAACCTCCTGAAAACGGATCGCTTAACTTGCACTCGTCCGTCCACTACTAGAATATGGTGCAATCATCTGGGACCCACACCTAAAGCAAGACGTGGAAAAGATGGAGCTAATACAACGTAACTCAGTGCGCTTCATTGCACATGTCTACAAATCTACCTCTTCTGGCTTCGTCACTGGCTTCTTAAAAAGATTTTGCATCCCATTCCCTCAAAGACAAACAAGAAAAGCTCTGCCTAACACTCATATATAAAATGGTCGTGGAGCTAGTGCCGGCCATCCCTGGAAATACGTATCTCACCCCACAGAAGCCAGATCACTTAATCAGAGCAAAATGCTCCTAAACACCGACTTGAGCTCTTACAACCCATTAGCAATTACATCCGTAGCAATAGTTTCTTATAAAAAACTCCTTATCCAACAGCACTGATTAAAATGTCCCATCAGCCAAAGCAAAGATTCAATGTAATCTACCATGGCTAAAAGAAGCTACTCAAGAAAATGAAAAGACAATTGAAGGAAGCCCAATCTATTAACAACTGAATCCTGTACAGCCAGTTCCACAAACACTGTCGTAGGGAACTAAGAAGAGGAGAAGAAGGCCTCAAAAACAACAACACAAAACCCTTCTGGCGCTACATAAAATCCAAGAAGCAAGACAGCATTGGCGCAGCTGCCTTCCTTGAAAACGGACAACTTATAAGCGATAGCCAATGCAAAGCAGAAATTCTCCTTAGGCAGTTTCAATCTGTTTTCAGAAAAATTTTCAACCCCAGTCATACCATCCCTAAAACCTTCACCTAGTACATAAAGTCTTCTCATCATTACTGACCCAGGAGTAGCCAAACTTCTAAAAAAAACGAAGCCCAATAAAGCGCTCGGACCTTACTTTATCCCGAAAATTGTCCTAAAGACCCTGGCTGACAACTTGTAACCCGCATTTTCCAAAAGTCGCTTGACTTAGGCATTCTCCCGTTAGACTGGCTCAATGCAAATATCACTAGTGCCTGCAAGAAAGGTGAAAGCCATAACCCAAAAAATCTACCACCCAAATTTTTCCTGATCTCCAACCCATGCAAAATTTTAGAACACATCATCTGTTGCCACATCATGAATTCCCTTGAACACTAAAGCATTTTGACCAGCCTAATCCACGGTTCCCGCTCTGGATTATTAACAGAGACTCAATTAATCATCAACACCAATGACCTCATTGCCTCCTATGACAAATTTAACAAGGTCGACATGGAGATTCTGGAATCCTCCAAGGCTTTTGAAACTGTTCCACACAGCCTTAATCTACACAAGCTCCACAACTACGCCATTACCGGTAAACTTCACTCGTGGCTCTCAACATTCATAACACAAAGAACCATGCAAGTAGTGGTTGATTGCGTCCAATCAGGCAATGCCACTGAAGATCTTAAGTCACGGCAGTGGGTCCCTTCCCTTTCCTTTCACATAAACTATCTCACTGATACTGTAAAAAACCACGTAATGCTGTTTGCAGATGATTGTCTTGTCTATAGAGACATAAACCCTAAGATGACCATAACCACCTGCAAGCAGATTTGAAGTACCTTATGAATTGGGCGGACAAATGGGCCATACAATTTAGCGAAACAAAATGCTACACAAAGAGCATCTCAAGAAAAAAAAACACATAAACCTATATGTACCCGCTAAACAAGACCATTCTCTAAAAAGTATCAAATAATCCATTCCTTGAAATTGGCTTCTCAAATAATCTAAAATGGTCACCGCATCTGAACAATTTGTTTTAAAAAGCCAACTAAGGCACTAAGTTTCATTTGAAGAAATATGCGCCACTCCCTAACTTCCTGCAACCGAAATGCCTATATCTCACTCGTCTGTCCACTACTAGAATATGGTGCGATCATCTGGGTCTTATACCTAATGCCAGTTGTGGAAAAAACGGAGCGAATACAACATAACGCAGTGCGCCTCATCGCAAGTGACTACAAATCCATCACTCCTGGCTTCGTCACTAGCCTCTTAAAAAGATTTAACATCCCCTCCTTCAAATACAGACGAGAAAAGTTCAGCCTATATTCGTATATAAAGTGTTAACGGGAATAGTAACCATCCCATCTAACATGTATCTCACCCCACAGAAGTATGGTCACTTAATCAGAGCCAATAAACTATGGCTCAATAAACATTGACTTTACCTCTGAGAACTCCATGAGCAGTTACATCCGGAACAATAGTAAATGCTTCTCTGTGCCTCGGTGTAACTCAGTCTAATAATAATATATTATAAAAGTATTATATCCCCCCAATTATAATTGCTTGTAACCACCTGGAGAATGCCGCCGTGGACTCGACATCAATCGATAGTTTCTAGGCTGCCCTCGCGTAGCTTCCGCAACCGTTGCACATATGCCAGTACTAGGATGCAGAAACGAGCCCGAAGAACACAGACCAATATAAACAATCATATCTTCCCACGCACAATAATCGCTTGTAACCACATGGACATTGCAGTCGATGACTCGACGTCAATCGAGAGCTTTAAGACTGCCCTGGCTTCCGCAAGGAGCCAATAGGATAGCTATATCGCTTCTCCATCCGTTCCACTTGCTCTTTCCACTTATATCAGTACATGAATTCAGTACCGTACCCTACCAGAACCAGAAAAAAGATGATGTTTTGCCAGCTCGTATTTATATACTTACATATGAAAAATTATGTATTTGATAAACCTCATTTAAATAGCAAACTTAAAGGAAAGGGATCTAAACTAGTTATATCAATTAATGTATGCAGTAAATCAAAACAAAACAAAGTTTTATTTAGAATGTCATTTGCAACACAATAGAAGCGGTAGAGGGGCGTTGCATATATAAACAAATTCATGAAGTCGATACAAATTGTTTGTGTGTGCTGCATTAAAGGTAAATTTGCCTGAAGTTGATACAGAATGGGAATGATGTCATAAAAAAGTAAGCAATCATTGTACCCCCCCCCCCCCCCAAAAAAAAGAAACAATCCCTGTACCCCCCCCCCCCCGAAAAAAAAATTGAAGCAAAATTTGGATGAATCTGCATTTTAATTCTCAACTATTAATTAGCTTCCATTGAAACATTTAAGGATTTCCCGTTTGCTATGCATGCCAACAGTTTCTGAAAATAAAGATTTTTAAGATTTTGAATCAATATTTCGTGTACAAGAAATAGATTGTGATAATTTCGGTCTTTTAATCCTGGATCAATTCAAATGTTATTCATGTTTATGACTTGCTCAAGCTGGCCCAATTAGTAAAAATCTCGTTAATCCCTTGAACGCTCTATATTTCATGAAATTTCAACTTCAAGTGATTACTCAAAAACAGAATGACGTTTTTCTATCTTGATGGACCATGTGAATCTAATAAATTACATTTGTACTAAACATTGATGAGATAAGTTCGATGAAAAGGAAAATTATGGGAAAAGGTTTTAACAGGAATTGCGCTCGATTTTAATATTCAAAATTCAGCCAATGAGTATTGGGTAAAAACGTACACATATCATCACTAGAAAATGATATTGTAAAAATTGCTTCATTTATCATTTGGGGGAAGCAACAATAATAACTTATTTTTCATTCTATTATTTAAATTATTATGAAGCGTACACCAACTTCAGTATAGCATTTTCGCAATAAAATTTCGTACGCCTTTTAAGAACTCGGCGCTTAAATTTCCAATTCATGATTGTTCCATTCTGTGTTATAATAGTTAAAGTTAAACCATGTGTACGTTATGAAAAATTGAATGTCGGCTTGAATCTAGGCTTTTAAGAAGATAATTATCTTTAAATTTTACTCACCTCCAAAAATCTCCACTTCACACAGAGTTAGTATAAGTAGATTTGTTGTATCTGTTGCTGTCATTTGAACCTTTGAAACTTGAGCCCATGGATCAGTTGATAGAATGTTGTACACCTCCAAAACTGATGTCTCAGTATCAGTGTAATTTTGTACAATGTTATTTGTTTGGTCGAATGTTCTAAGAATAAATCCTTTCAATCTGAAAAGATCTGCTTCTCTGTTGTAACTTAATAAAGCTGATTATAGGAATGATGAATAAAACATTTTTTTTTAAATCATACATGGAATTTTTCGAGGACAACTTTGTATAATTTTTATTCTTTATTCAATAAGAATTAAACGTATACATTTTTTTCAAATTTATATTACTATTTGTACATAAGAAAAATGTTTTGAAAAATATCAAATATTTGAAAGTTAGTTTTGAATATTATAACCGATATGAGGAAATATTTTAATGAAATCTATGGGTGAGAAATTTATACATAAATATTAATTTTGGATATCCAATAAATAAATCCATGCCAACTTACAACCAGTATGTTACTTGCCCCACGCGACAAGGCCGAACTCTGGATATGTGTTATGGTAATATAAAAAAGGCCTACAAATGTCGTGCTTTATTTCCTCTAGGGGAATTTGCCCACACAATGGTCCGCCTAACGCCATGCTATAAGCCAGTTTTAAAAACATAAAAAATTCAATAAAAAACGATTGAACTGTCGTCAGATGAGGCGACAGAAAAACTTCAAGCCTGCTTTGAATGTACAGACTGGGACACGTTTATCAACTCTTGCCCGGACATTGACGAGCTCACAAACACTGTCAATTCCTACATTAAGTTCTGTGTAGACGACATTATTCCCAAAAAGCAATCCGAGTAACAACAAAAACAAACCCTGGATAAGCAGAGAAATAAAAGAGGCCATACACCACAAGAAGAACATGTTTAAGATTAACGACCAGGAATTCATGAAAGCTAAAACATTATTGAAGGAAAAAATATATCAGGGTAAAAAAAAATACAAGCAAAAAATCGAAAAATTATTCACTACTAACAATTCAATGGCTTGTTGGGCAGGACTAAAGAAAATAACAGGATATACTCCTAATCGAGAATGCTTATGTGTTGTGGATGTAAGGAATTTTGTTAACAACTTAAATGACTTTTATTGTCGTTTTGACAGCCTGGACTTTGGAAGAGTGCACAATGAGATGATGAATTCATTTCAAGATTGCAGTAGTACACAGGATGGTACTTTATTGTTCCCCGAACATAGAGTGATGTCACTATTTAACCAAGTGGACGCAACTAAAGCCTCGGGACCAGACAAATTAAGTGGTCGGCTAATTAAGCTATGTTCACAGCAGCTCTCCTACATTTTTTTTACATATTTAATAAATCTTATGAAACTCACACAATACCAGTAATTTGGAAAACTTCAGAAATAATACCAATTCCAAAGAAAATTAAGGTAACGTGCAACAACGACTTACGACCTGTTGCACTTACCTCTATTGTCATGAAATGTTTCGAGAAAATAATTCTGAAAGAAATTTTGAATGAAGTACAGCGAAAACTTGACCCTCACCAAATTTGTTTATAAGCCTGCCAGAAGTACAGAGGTGGCACTCTTACTATTGTTGGAGAGACTTTACCATCACCTAGACCAGTGGTTCTCAACTTTCCTAATGCCGCGAACGTTTAATACAATTCCTCCTGTTGTGGCGACCCCCAAACACAAAATTATTTTCGTTGCTACTTCATAACTGTAGAGCATATGGATTTTCCGATGGTCTTAGGCGACCCCTGGAAGAGCTTCATTCGACCCCCAAAGGGGTCACGACCCACAGGTTGAGAACCGCTGACCTAGACAGTCCTAAAACATATGCCAGAGTGCTTTTCTTAGACTTCTCATCAGCATTTAACACTATCCAATTGCACCTTATGATAAAGAAAGTTTCCTTCTTAGGTGTCAATTTAAATATTCAGGCTTGGACACTGAACTTTTTAACAAATCGACCACAATATGTCAAAGTAAATGACCAAGTATCTCTAACCAGAGAAATAAGCACCGGGGCACCACAAGGCTGCGTTCTCTCTCCCGTACTGTATACCATATATACAACAATGATATTCAAAGCTCAAGTGACACCATTCCAATCTTAAAATGTGCTGATGATACCACCTTTGTTGGTTTAATATCTGAAGGAGAAGGCCTATACCACAACTTATTTACGAGCTTTATCAATTGGTGCGATGAAAATTTTCTCCAGTTGAATGTCTCAAAAACTAAAGAAATGTTTTTTGATTTTAGGAGGGGGAAACACCAGATTACAGATCTCAACATAAAAAATCAAAATGTGGAGAAAGTGGAGGCCTACAAGTACTTAGGTGTCACCATTAATAATAAGCTAACATGGCATGAGCACGGCCACATCTTGTATAAGAAATTCAACCAAAGACTGTTCTACCTCAAAAAACTGTACGATTTTGGTGTAAACAAGGAAGTCGTTAACTTATTATACAGTGCAACTATTGGAAGCCTGCTTAATTTCAATATTACCTGCTGGTGTTGGAATTCAACATCTGATATTAAACACGGCATAAACCGACTAATCAAGAAAGCTAGGAGCATAACACAAACTAAACTTCCTTTACTTGAAGAACTATTTGAAGAAAGATGTTTTTGCAAAACTAAACACATTTTGGATGATACATCCCAGCCTCTTCATCACAGATACTGAGGATCGAACCGTTCAGGGCGAGGGCTGACATATATACAAATTCGTTTGTTCCCCAATCTGTACGAATTTACCGGCATGCTTTCTCTAAAGTCATACATCTGAATGAGAACTAATAAGATTTTGCTAAGAGAACTCAATAAATGGTTATTTGAAATAATTTATTATAAATGTCTTGTGTTCAAATTGTTTTACTTTTTAGCTGAAAATGTACAATGCAATCAAAAAACATTTCCATTCATTTGGATCAATAAAAGAATCTTATCTTATATATATATATATATATATATATATATATATATATATATATATATATATATATATATATATATATATATATATACATATATATATAAACAAAGATTACGGTCAATCTAAATAATTGGGCATTATTTAAAATGCCCGGGATTTTTAAAAAGTGCCCAATGGGATGTCACTAAATGAAAATTATATAAAATATATTACATTGCCCGGGCATTATGAATAATGTTTGAAATCGAGTGGGCAATTTAAGAAAATTTGTATTCTTATTTCACTTCATTCAAGAAAAAGAGGATATTATTTTAACAAATGTTTAAATACCTAACTAACAAATACGAAACAAACTGGTGGTGATAAAATAAGTATAAAAAACACGCACGCATAACTAAAAAAAAACATATTAGGTATGTATTTACAAATACATATACACACAAAATGTCACATCTTAGAGTTTCCATTTATTAGAGCAGCTTCCACTTTGGTGATATTTCAAGTTACATAGGTTTTTTTCTTTACGGCACTTGCACTTTTCAGATTTACAGCCACATTTACAGCCACATAGACTATAGCCTTGTCCCAAGTCTTGGATGACATTAGTTCACATTTTCGTAATGAAATTTATTTGGCATCAATAAACGTTTCATTACATATTGTACATTGGTTCCTAGCTTAAGGATGATTTAGGGTTCCATGTTCTGTGCCGAATTTATAAAGATTAGTTTCTGTTATTTCAAGAAGAAATGCCAATATATTTCTTCCATCGGTGCGACCTCTGTCGTCATCTGGGACTCGATCTCTAACTGTGTCACCCTTTTTAGCGGCAGGGCTTTTTGAATAAGGAGTTTGAAGCATTTGTTCAGCTAGTTTTTTTTTTTAGATTGCTTGCTGAAATCTCCCTAATTTTTTATATGTCAGCTTTTCTTTATTTTTTAAATTGGGATCCTCTGAGCAATCTTCATAACCTTCATACGCGCGTTTTTCAGTACCGGAGACTTGAATATCAGATGATCGGAGTCATTTATTTCTATTTCTTGTTATGGAAATCAGAAATTAGTTCGAATAACGAAGTTGAAGGTTGAACATAACTATCAATAGATAGTTCCTCCTCGTTATGTTAACTTGGACCTAGCTCCGCTAAAGAATTCGACCCTGGTTTATTTTGCAGTGCACCTTCTTCTACAGACTGTAAATTGTTTTATCTTTTACTTTACTTCTAAGTCATCTTTATAATTTATATTAACTTAATAATTAAGCAGAACGTCTGAAGGTAGAAATTTTTAACTTTGTTCCAAACATGGACTCATGCGGAATACAGTTTATAACACTATGATGAGCTATTTTCTTCATAATCTGAATAAACCGTAAGTCTTCTGATCATTTTCTGCTGTTTTTGTCTTCCAGCCTCGAACAAAGCATATTTTCCATTTTCTGATTCGCAAGCTCTTCGGAGCCCAGACTTTGAGAGTGTCTGGCCTTCCCCTGTACAATCTTTAGCTCGGACCACATGCTTTATAGTTCTTTAATAGTATTGTTAGCAAATTCTCTCCCATTATCACTTTGCAAAATAGTAGGTGCACCAAAAATGGTAACAATATCCAAAAGCACATAAGCTACACCATACGCACGATGCCAAATTGCTCTCAATTAATTAAAGTGACCAGAGAAATAATAGCAGTGTTCACAATGACCGGTCAATGTAATAAATTAGGTGTAGTAGAAAAATACAAAATTATTAAATAGCCTGATTTCATTGGTCATTATTTATAATGAACAAGCATTATGAAAACTGCTCAGAATAATGAAATTGACCGTAACATATATTATAGAGAAGAATGACAAATTCTGGGTTTGTTTGTGGATTAGTTCAACGTGTGTTAGTACATGGATTTATTTGATTTATCTTCATCAAATTGGCACAAATATCCTTCAGTCTCCGAATCAAATAATGGGGAGTTTTAACTTTTTAAAAAATGCATCAGTGCACTGGGAGCCCTAAATTCTTTGCATTTTCTTATATGATTGTAACTAATAAACCCCATGAATGGAAGGATCTTTACCAAACTTAGAACACATTAACTTCATCAACCCTATTCAAATACCGAATGGTACTAAACTCATAATAATTATTCCTTTGAGGCTGGGGCGTATTCATCTTTCCTTACATAAGTAATGTACAAGCAAATAGCCTAGCAACACTACATGTTATATGTGAATAGATTTATCTAAGCCTAGCTTCGTCGCAATACCCGTCTTAGTCCGTAATGAAATATCGGTGGATTAAAACATTATTAAGTTCTATCAATTCAGGGCCAGTCTAGAATTTTCCAGAAAGCTCAATAATAGTAGATCTTTGGTATTTTTAAATGATTTCAATTAGACATCTTTTAAATTTTAATTTCATAATGTATTTGAATTCTTTTATAGGTCGCCCAATCACAGGGATTGACTGTATCTTATGTAAAGTCACTTCAACGTTTCCCCTCTTATAATATAAATGTAAAATGGTTATAGCTATAGCAAATAGTTAAGGGAAAGAGTCATTTGTCTCACCTTTCGAGGGGGACATTAAATTACCATAGAATGCTCCAGAAAGTTCTATATTGTTCCACGGGGATACAAAGATTTATTGAAATTTTAACTGAATTCTATTGATTTCTATTTTTCCTGAGGATTTTCTCAATATGGCATATTTATCTGATAAAAATGATCCATAAAACTTTTAGGCTATTCCAGAAGCTTAATTTATTATGAAATTATTTTAAGACTAAAAACATTTCCTTTTTTTTTTTTATTATGTTTGCATAATTTTCAATGAGTTTCCTCAAATGTTTTGGATTATAATTTGAAGATAATTTTGAAAGTCTCTTGAAATTTCAATATAAATGTTCCCTTACAGGGGCCTAAGCTACATACATAAGTGAAATTGAACATTGTGATACAATATACAATCACTTTGTGATGTCAATTTTAAAATATTTTTTAGAGGAGGTACTTTTAAAATTATTTTAGGTGTTTATTTAGGATGTTCTTAATTTTGAAATTAGCTAACAAGATGTAAAAGGTTGTTTTTACGAAGATAATCTGGAGAGAAGCCGCGCATATTGGCTAGTCAAATTTATAGAGCCCAATGTTCAAATGTCTCTTAATGATTATCATAAATTAGATGATGGCAATAGTCTTTAAAAAAAATATATTTAATCTATTTTATGTGTGTTAAGTTACATCAAATGGAAACTTTGAAAATGAGATAATTTTGTTTAAAAATAAGATTTTAACGTACGCCTACAAAAAGGACACATTTCATCAATTATTATATCGAAAGCATTTGTGTTTTCTTTTAATGTGCTACTTGTTTAACAATTCTTCCTGATAACAGAGGTTATGAAAGTCTTAGTATATAGCCTATATTTAGTACGCACCATTTTTTGCATTAATTTTTAAATTTTTTTTTTTCTTGATAGTAATCCATCAGACAGCTAATAAATTTTTTTTTAAAGAGCAAGAAAAAAATTTTTTTTTGTGAACTAGCATTTCAATTGATATTTCTATAGAGAAATTTTGTTGGTACTAGTTTTAGAAAACAATCTTATTCCTAATTTATTTAATTGAAAGTAAATTCTGTGGTTTGGTAAAAAAAAAAGTGTTTTAAAGTATATCTAAGCGGCCATTTTTACTTTATCTGAAAAATGTGTTTTCAAATTACAAATAAACATTTCAATCAACTGAATATTGGGAAATATATACTTTATTTGCATACGATTTCCGTTAGATAAAATCACACATTAATAATTATAATGTCTTTTGTAAGCAACTTATGTCTTTTTTAAAATAATTATGCCGTTCATATATTCGACTTATACAAATGACCAGATTTCTCACCCCATAAAAATATATTGACCCTTCTAAGTTATAGAATTTTTTTCGTTTTGACTCTGATAAAATTAGGAAATATTTAGAAAAGGTAATCTATTTATTATTAGTAAGTTGTTTTTTTTCCATTTGCGTTTGGCATATAAAATTATGCTTGCTGTGCTTTTTAGCGACGTAACCCTTTTTACTTTTATGTGCTGAAAATTCATTTATTAATTAAGTATCTACCAAATAATGTAAAAATAAAAGGCATATTACTATTTTGAGTCATACATTTTTTTTTGTGCATAATATAAGTAGGTCAAGCACTTTTCTTTTTTGCCACTCCACTCCCACCCCCAAATCCTTTTTTGCACCCTGCATAGGAAGATGATCATTAAGAAAATATCCTCATCACATCTTTAAACCTCTAAAATATCCGCGGCTCCCAGCAGCGTAAGGCTTTTGGGGTGCACACGATGGTTCTAAGGTTAAATGACAACTACATTTTCAAATTAGCATCTCTTCCATTTCTCTCCATTTAGGTGTAGAATGTTGCAAAACTAAAATTTAGATATTTTATATAATGCATTATTGTTATTTTAATTGATCACAAATTTTCTGTGGGCTATAAATATTTAATAGGACATTGGTCGGAAAACCGTGGCTCTTTAGTGACCTGAGTGCGGCTCGACAGTCGGCCACAAAGATGTTTTGACTCCAAAAACATTGTTCTTGACAAGTTCTTGAAAAGAAAAATGGCTCTCAAATTTTTTTAATCGTTCTTCCTGCTGATTTCTGGCTCTTTTAACTAATGAGTTTTCCGGCCACTGTAAGAGGCGATATTAAGCTTACCCTTAAGGGTGACACTACTAGACTGCATTTTGTCTACATCACACTGGTGCGGAATATTAAGCTTACCCTTAAGGGTGACACAACGAGAATTTTTTTTTTTAAAATCACACTGGTGCGGAATTTAAAATTCTTTAATCATTATTTTGGCTAATTTTGTGCTCCACAACCAAAAGTTTGAAATGCAACTTGCAACCTCAAAATTGTCTGATAGAAACAACAAATTCATTTATGCGCCAGAATGCAACATTGCATTTTGAATTTACCCAACAGTCTTTAGCTTCCTAAATATCTGGACCCCTTTACTCACGCTGAAAAATGATACATTCTGCGTCTGATTTTAAGCTTGTGCGTAATGATTACTCTAGGGGCACGCCACAAACGGAGTAAATTCAGTTTATGTTTGACACTAGACGCTATAATGCCTCCCACAAAACCTTAAAAATTTCTCTCCCAGTTCTAAAAGTATAATTGAAACATTGCAGTCAAGATCGTCAAAAATTCACATATTGATTTTGAAAAAAAAAAAAAAAATATGGAGATCAATTTATGGATCAAGATTCATCTGCGCCCTCAATTTCCGCCCTACTTCCCGATGAACGTGATCGCCGATTTTGGTATTGATAGATACATGGCTTAGTGGTGCAGCTTTTACTGCCGCCATGGGTGGGCAAATATTTTTGTCGTCCTCCCTATCACAATACAGAGTTTGTAGGTGTCTGAAAATGACACACGTGCATATAAGGAAAAGGTGGAACCTCTGTGGACCCACCCTATTTCGACCTCCCTAGAAGGGGTCTATCTAAAGTGTTTGGTGTGAGGGGGAAAGATTCATTTTTAAGTCCCACCCCTCAACTCTGAAACTGTTTATTTTTAACCAATAAGTATCATTTAGACCTAAGAATGGTGTCCGAGGCATATGCCCTATCTGCCCCCGTAGCCACGCTTCTGGTCACTGGCAAATGACACAGCCCCCCCCCCCCACACACACACACCAAAAAATTTGAAATGCCCCACCGGGCAAAAATGTCTGAAAGAAACACTGGTTACATTTCCAGGAATATAATAAAAAAGACAACCCCCCCCCCCCCCACACACACACCAAAAAATTTGAAATGCCCCACCGGGCAAAAATGTCTGAAAGAAACACTGGTTACATTTCCAGGAATATAATATCTATTAAAAAAATTAAACAAACAGCTTAAAGATTGGCATTTAGATATTCATGAGAGGAAAAATAAAATTAGTGATTTGCTTTGACTCATAAAAAAATAATTAATTAAAAAAATAGCATGGAAGCAAAGTGAGTAAATATTTTTTTCTTTTGTATAAATAAAAGGATCTCAATATATGTCCATACAAATTATAGATCGGAATTCTGTTTTGGTCGAATTTTTTTTAAATTTGTATTTATTTTATTTTTTTTAAAATTTAATTAAAATGCGTGAGTTGAGGATTCCATAGTCACATCTCTATTTACTTTTGGAAGCCAATATGGGTAGGGGGAGATGACTTATCAAGGTTTATAAATAAAGGCCGGTTAATGGGCAAAAAGCAAAACCAAATTGGCGTTTTAAATGTGACAGGTGTTGTATTTGTTTGATAAAGATGTGAATGTTATTAATTCGATTACAGAATGTGGATGTAAATTCGGAACACTAGGAACGGGGAGCTGATGGGTAAAGGAAGAGGTAGTGTAATTAATGTTTTATTACACATTGAATCAACGGGATTAACACTGTGATATATAATGTCTTAGGTAACCTCCCTTTAATTCTTTTTAGGTGCTGAAAATTAACCTAGTATGGCGTTTGATTAACATGAGGTGAAAAAGACACAAACGAAGCTATAACAAAGGGACAATGTAATGTCAAAAGGCTGTGGTTGTTGTCATGGTTTAGTTTTAATGGTAAAGTTTTGAAGTGAGAACAGTAAGATAATAGTTCATTTCGGAAAAAAAGTTTATGTAGTTTGACTATGGGGTTTGAGATTGCAATAAGCGTAATGGAGGGATGTGGTAGGGAAAGGTTTCTAAGTTAAGAGAGGTTGTATGATGTGTGATGGTTGAAGTGAAAATGCATTAGGATAAAAGTTATATTATTAAAAGTGTTGTATTATGAGAGAAATTGTTTTATAAGAAATTTTATATTATGAGAGAGGTTGCAATAGAAGAGATGTTATACTATTATAGAGATTACATTATGAAAGACTTTGTATTTTGAGAGACAAGGTTGAGAATTTTTTGTGTGAGTCGTTTGTTGTGAAGGGAAGATTAATTTGTTATTCAGTATTTAGAGACAATTGGGAATGATAGACAATAAAGGGTTAAATAAAAAAAGATTTTTAACTGAGTATCAAAGACGAAAATGTTTGACAATGTGGTCAATGATTGTTTCAGCATCAACATCTTTTTATATCCATCATATCTTCCAACACAAATTCACATTTATAAAGTCGGTCATTGTATTGTTTCAAATTATACTCACGTTGAACTCGGTTGTAGATTGTATAACTAGTCACTGTAACAACTGATTTAAAATACAGTATCCACGTAGGAGCAGGGTCGCCCTCGGCAGTGTGCGTGCAAGAGCCGTCAGAAAAAATTGAATAACCATTGCCATCTACAGCGGCGCTTGAGAGGTAATATGAGTCATAGAAATTTGATGTTTGGTTTGTTGGCTGTTTTAAAGCAACATTTCTACCTGGAGATAGATTTAGGGGCCAGTTGTTAATTTCTGCAAGGTCTTTTATTATGTGTCCTAGTCGCCTTATCTTGGCCTAAATTTCAAATTTTTGTGTGTCCTGTTTTACGAACTAACTTTATAGAGTATATCATTGTGTCTTCTTTCAAAGGCGTTCTCAAAATTCCGTTGACTGGTCACATAGTTTGCAAATAAGTTTAATGGAGATATATGAGCTCTTTTATTCAGTGCTCTAGTCAGTTAGTACTAAACTAAAATTAGAACCTTTAAAAAGATATATTTTGTCTTCAATAGATTTTATTTACAATAATGTAAATAAGTAATAAAAAATAAATTGTTTTGTAATTTTAATATATCCTGTATATAAAAGGGGAATGAACAGATATAAATGTATGAGTAAATACATGTATATTAATTTATTAAAAAATAGTTTCTCTGTCTCCAATAGTAAATAAATTTAAAATTTCATTAAAATATTACAATTCATTTGAACAATAAATATAAAATTTTGATTTATAGGTTAAAATTATGATTTATAAAATTTTACCTTTGCTGATATAAAGTGAACATATTGTGCTTACTGCCGATCCGTTCAAGAATATTTCGTTTAGGGGCTTTGAAATGTTGCAATAAATGTCCATTGTTATTTTGTCAATAAACACATTTATGCATTCCGAATTTTGTGTTGGGACGTTATCAGGAAACTTTATTGAAAAACGTTCGCTTTGGGATTCTAAACATGCAGGACAAAAAATATAATTTATTATACATGACTTAAATTGTCTGTGAAAATAAGGGAACAAATAAAGAATGAGCAACACATTGACAAATTAAAGATTAATCCAAGAAATACAAATCAAATATAATTTAAGTACCAGCAATACTGACTACAAGCCTCAACCACGTGAAGTAGATGTTAAAATTCCAGGTTATACGAAGCCAGAAACTAGAAACTGTAAGATCGGTACAGGTTGTATCATCTCCATCTGTAATATTTGTTATATCTTTGGAGGCCCCGTCGCTAAGTATAAGTTTCGCAGTATTAGCTAAATCCGCTGAAAAAATGTAAAAATATTTGTTATGAAAAAATATGCTGTTTAAAACATATATTATAACTACCGTATATACTCGCATATAAGCCTACATCGCATGTAAGCCAACCCCCTAAAACTGCTTTAAAATGGCCAGTTTTGACAAAAACACGCATATAAGCCGACCATACAATTGTCTAATTTTACTCCATATTTTTGGTTCATAGAAATTTACTAATGTAAAGATGTCAAATGCTTACTTTTAGGTTACATACCAGTTTGTTTAACTTTTGAATGACACAAAAACGTGTTCTGCTCTTTCCACATTGTTTGCTATAATAATAACTGTATATAAAGAGTCAGATAGCGATGAAAATGTGTGGCTGGAAAATTGACATGCGTGTCTGTCCTTGTGTCCATTTTGTTTTATGCGCAGATAAGAAAACCCTTATTTCAGTATTGTATTTTATAGTTCTAAATTCGGCTTATATGCGAGTATATACGTTAGCCAATGTACCCGGTAACTTTTGCTATTGCATTTGGAATTTTGAAAAAAAAACAATACATTTTTACAGCCTTTCGGATAACTTCGAAATTAAGTAGCCAGTAAGCAAAATTCTCATTACTAAAGGTAAAAAACGAAAGAGTTAAATTCTCTTTTCTAAAACACTCTTATCAAATACGATCAGATCATGATCCCCAGTGGGATCCTCTCCCTGTTAAAATACAATGTACCAGTATCGGATCCCGATCTCAAATAGGATTATGGTGCGATTCCGTTCCCTTTGTGGTGTTGTTAGTATTCAGTTCCAAAATGGATCCCTTTTTTCGATCTGATCTATTGCCCTGTGGAAACATTTTCCCGTGGAATCCCGAACACATTGGAATATGTTTCCGATTAAAATCAGATCTTAACACACACTGAAAGACTCAACGTGTCAGTGTTTCGACACAGAAGCGAAGCCACATACTCGATTCGATAGTTGTCAGAGAAAAATATGCACATATGATTCGCAACCTCATTATTGAGAACAAAGTGATCTCTGATCATTTTCCAAAAACCTTTTACTTTGACTTGCGAACAGTCACATCCCGTGACCTCCGACGGATAGATCTAGTGGCCTTCAAATTTGACGTCGCCACACTCAGGTGCAGTGAATTAGACCCTGCGACAGACTTAAACAGTGGCCTCAGAGTGTTTTTAGACAAACTTCCACTACTTTTCACACGGCTTGTTACGGACAGCCCTTTTACCCCATGGCTATTGTCAGAAATAAAGGACGCAAAGCAGAAGCAATGACGTGCAGAACACAAATGTAAGTCTGGCTTCATCGTGCACTGGAAAATCTTTGTTGATCTCAAGAAACAAACGAAGAATTTGCTCCTTGCAGCTTGGACTGAACATTTCAGTCACCAAATTGTCAATTATAGTTCAAGAAGGAACTTATTTCGTATTGTGGGTCATCATACCGGTAAAAAGAAGGATACATCATTTGCCAAAAATAATTGCTGTAGGTGAGCTGTCAGACGCCCTAAATGAGATCTTTATTATAAAAGTGACGAAGATCAGGACGAGACTTAACATTTTTACTGATGCACCCGAGTTCTTGCAGTTTAACGGCACACCTATGAGCAAATTTTCTGATGTCACTGAATCGCTTTTGAAAACATTCCCGATGGACACCCCAAGAAATTCATGTTTGCTCCAGCCTCTTCGTGGATGGGCTGTTATACGAATTTTTGGATGACATTGTCTCGATCATAACCAGTATCATAAACTGTCTTTGAAAACTTGTATTGTTCCATCCTCTTTAAAGGGGAGGTGTAACTCCACCGCTCAAGAAAGCAAATCTCGACAAAAATATGTTGGAAAATTATTGCCCCCCCCCCCTAATCTACTAGTTGTATTCAAAATTTTAGAAAAAGTCGTTCTCCGCCAGCTCTTGGATCACCTCACTCAGTGTGACTTGATTCAGCCTTTCCAGTCAGCATGCAGGTCGCATCACTCTATTGAGACAGCCTTGTTGCGCGTCGTAAATGACCTTCTGTCGTCTTGTGGTGAGGACCAGGTAACCCATTTTGTCGTTGCTTGATCTATCGGCAGCGTTTGATACGCCTGACCACGGCATACTTCTCCAACGTCTGCAAAAATCTTTCGGTTTCACCGATACCGTCCTGAGATGGTTCCGCTCCTAACTGACAAATCTGGTCCAATCAGTTAGCGCAAACAACTTAACCTCGATTTTGATTGGCTTGTGTTGTTTATGGTTGCAGGGGATGAACGACTTTTGATTTGGTATCCTGGTATGTAGTTTTTGTAGTGTTGCGTTTTGTATTTTTAAATGTGGTATAATATAGATTGTTTCATTTCTCTATTAATATGTTCGACTTTGTACTGCGCTTCGAGCCTTTGCGAATGAAGCGTGATTTTCAAATAAGCTTTATTATTTTTATAATTATATTTATTATTATTATTATAAATTAAAATAAAAGCTAATTTTTTAATTTTTTTAGCACATTGACATTTTTTTTTTGATTCCCGTAAAATAATAGAAAATCACTTTCATTGTTTTCAACAAACCGAAATATTTCAAACTTTTCGTTTCTTCGGCGTTATGTGGTTAGTCTAGCTAAGTGGTCGACAAATCGCGGCTCTCGAGCCGCATGCGGTTCTCTTTAGCAAACTGATTTCGGCTCGGCCAATCAGCTACAATTTGGATTTGACTCCAAAAAAATTGGATTTGACTCCGAAAAAACATGGTACTTGAAAGTTTCTTGAACATAATTTGGCTCTCAAAAATTTGTATCAACCTGTTGCTGATTTGTATCTCTTTTGACTAATGAGTTTGTCAAAAGCTGGCCTAGGTCATTCTTTTATGAATATATGATAGGATTATCAAAATAATTTGGCAGCATCAGTCAAATCTAGTAGCACATTGCATATGTTCAATGCCTTAATTAATATCAAACAAAGACATATATGCTATTGTTAAAATATGTAGGTAGTGTGTTATTTCTTGTTATAATCAAGGTGCCGCACTTTGTTTCTTCACTTTGTCACATCACGTTGTTCCGTTACATTATTGCGTCAGGATGCTGCGTATGTTATTTCGCCTCATTGCACAGTCAATTTGCTATGTCACTTTGTTACGTATTGTTGTTCTGTCATGTCGTTCATACCTGTCGTACCGCCATTTTGTTCTGTGTATATATATATATATATATATATATATATATATACTTTGACTCTAAATGGAAAGTTTCAATTTTATTCTTAGAAGTAAAATAAAGAAGATGTTAGCGTCTACATTTTATGAAATGTACACTGCTTTTTTTTATTTTTTAAATTACTTATATTCTTAGGTTATTCTTTAATATTCAGGCTATAATTAAATGAAACTTTTTATTTATAAATGATAATAATTATGTAAATTGCTTGTGATTTATAGAATGTGCAGCAAGATATGGTGAAAAAAGAGGAGAAAGTGTTTAGAAAACGGTTGAGGTAAGAGAGATTATGGACACGAAGAGGTTGAAGTTATAAGTGATTGAAGGGTAGGGAAGAGATACGTTTTAAAGAACATTAAGATATGGGTATTGTTTTATAATGATATGGTGAGCTAGACATAAGTCTTAAAGTCAGACTAATGTGTTATGCCAAATTTTTTTATATGTTGATATTTAATAAGAATCAAAGGGTTAGCACTAGGTATTTTGCTAAGGGAGAGTGTAAGGCTGGAGACAGGTTCAGGCTAAGAAAAAGTCCCAAATATAAGGATTTAAAGTTTTGAAATAAGTTTTGTAATTAAAATTGCCCTACCGTACTGACAAGCTGGACCGAACCATCCGATATCACATGCATTAGGACAGTCGCCATTAGTAACATTACAAGCTACATTGTTCTTACAGTGACATTTGTACTGGCAATCAGAACCAAACCAGGTGTTGTTGAAGCGGTCTTTTGTATCGCATACTGTTATAGACCAATGGTTCAAGGGCATTATTTATCTTATAATAAATGTAAAAAACAATTCACTAAAATACATTTTACATTATAATTTTTTCTTAACAAACACATGTGATTACCATCCTACAAAATAATGTAACGAATATAAATTAGCTTTTCCCCAAATAAAAAGCAAGCAGTTTACTTTTCTTACATGAAATTAATAATTGACGCATTAAAAATAATGGTATTTGATACCAATTGACCTTAATTTAGCTATCATTCAACAACATAATACTTTTTGTTAAAATTTTTGAGATAATTTTTCTTGCACGTTTCTCTAAAATTAGAACAGATTTGGTGAGTACTTCAACTTACATTGCGCTGCATTGTAGGTAACAGACTGTACCAAAATGAACAAAATCCATGAAAATACTAATGTCATGATTTTCTATCACGGTGCATCTGTTGTAGCATCTGAAAAATCGTACAAGTAAAGTATGAATAAACAAAAATCTAATAATTACAATGAGAAATTGTGCTTTTTAGATAAAAACTAAATGTCTTCGAGAAGCTAAAAAAAAAGTAAACTTGAAATTTTACAATACCTTAATTTCCTTATTTAGAGTGACTCTTTTACATATTATTTCATAGGGGTTAAATAGCATTGCTTTGTGTGTCCTTAAGTACAATCTTCTGTAGTTTATGATTGTTACATTTTACAGTCCAGTGAATGTACTGATAAGGGGTAAAGACACAACATTTCAAATAATTTAAATTTAAATGCATATGATCAATTAGAGATAAGATCGGCTACTTTATACTGTATTCATTCATTAAAATTTATTTTCAATATAATATGTTGCTTTTTTTCTTGGTATGGGAGTTGAGGTTAGAGACAGTTTTCGTTATTTCAATCAGGTTCGACTTCAGGTAATAATTTACTTAAAAGTCTATATTATGATTCATATAGCAATTTATGACTCGGAGCTCCTTTGATCACAACTTCCTTATTAGCTGTTGCAACAAGGTTTAATATGAATAGGGACATAGTGTTAATGTACTTCCTTTTCTCGAGATCGCACATTTTTAGATACATCAGACTTGGTTTGATGTCATGGAAATTAATTTGATGAAAATGCAATCAATTCGAGCATGTTCAAACTTTTTTTGAAAAAAAAAAAATGATTATTTAAATAACACCTGAAATAATATAGGTTTGGACACTTGACACTAATTTTCACCTGATAAATGCTTTCATAAGCTTAGGTTATACTTTCCAATTTAAATCAAATCACCAATTCATTGTCTGAACATTTGAGTATAATCTAAGGAATTCAAATTGTTTGTAGGTGTGGCAAAGATAATAAATCATTTTGAAAATTTAAGTAGTCTAATTACTCGCGATTGAAGGATGGGGTGGTGTGTGGGGGGTGGGGGTTGGGGGTCGAACTCTATCTACGTCTAAAATAGAATGGTCTAAATATTTAAAAGTGTTAGACCTCTCGTAATGTATGTAATTCTAGGAATAAATTCTAATCCGCGCAGAAAAGCAGGTGTTTGCTACACAAGGCGCGGTCCTTTGACGCCACAACTCCTGTAAACGACAAACCATACATAATACGCTATGGTACATGTCAAGCTATCAATTATGTTTTAATTCAATCTCGCAGTCTCTAGGTCTAGCTATTTTTTTGTTGCTCAAATCTACTTATATATATGACTTACATATTCAGTTGTCGTGCTATCCCTGTATATCATTAACGTATGGCCAACATTTACAAGACACGATTCGGTAAAAGGATTATGCTTTAGATTAGATTTAGACTAGAACTTACACATCCGTGTACTTGCTAAATCTTGACCCACATAGCAATTCAAGCATGTACACATTCTAAAAATATAACTCAGAGATAAAATATATGCTGAAGTGCATATGTGGAATACAGGATTAAGAGTTTTTATTTTCTTTATTAATGTACATGGATTTGCTTGGGATTATATTTAGAGAAATCTCATAAAGCGATATAGGCAAACACCTAGTCAAAAACACATTGCTAGAGTACATTTTGAAATTAAAATTGATTCCTTTAAAGGGCCAGATGTATAATAACTTTTTGTAAACATTTAGTATTAGTCAGTGTTGCCAGTTACCCTTGCAATGCACATTGGTTCACAGGCATTGTGACAAGACGTCAAAATAAATTAATATGTTGCTGTGCCCTAAAACATCTAATGTGGAAAGGAAGGATCTCAGATGTGACACTGCAACAATACCGTATGATTATAGAATGCCAGGTATAAAATTCAGAAATATCTTATTTTGTATGAGATAAAAATCTTAAATTAAACGAACATCATTTAAGTAATTTAATTGACGATGTATTTAACAAATGATGCCTATAAGAAAGCGGTTCTCAAACTGTGGGTCGCGACCCCTTTCACAGGGGTCGCCTAAGACCATCTGCAAACATAAATGCTCTACAGTGATAAAGTATAAACTGAAAATATTTGTGTGGCTGGGGGTCGCCAAAAAATGAGAAACTTTATTAAAGGGTCGCGGCACTAAAAAGGTTGAGAACCACTGCTATAAGACATTGCCATCCTCATACAATGCACCAACATGTATTTTGAATAAATGCTCTCTGGATGTAAATTACATTTCTGGATGTAAATTGCATTTCCAAAATACATTTCCTTTTAAGATGGCGATGAACATTATTAACAGGACCTCCTTGTCGCAAGCAGGTAGTTACGTCAAAGAAACCATTTATGCAGGCCACTAACTACTTGTGATACTTGTAATAATATCCAAATATCTACCCCCCCTACCGCCCCTGCACCCAACATGTTGAACAAAACGAACTGTCGTTTATTAATGTGCTACAACAGAATTTTTCCATTTAATAAAGAAATAAACTTGCATAAAAAAAATCTGTGCTCACGTTTCAATTCACCAAAACAACTTCTTAAGCTTTAGCAGCGTACAAGTGAATTTTTGGAAACTGGAAAAAAAACATACGAAAATTACCAATTAAATCTAAACTGTTCTTCTACAAAAATTCATATTTATAATAAATCTTGTAAACAAAGAATCTTAGGGTCCTGCCATTTTCATTTATTATTCAAGACCGAAGTTAATCCTTTACAACGTGTCTTAGCAAGAAATATTCAAAAATGGGCCGTAATCAATTAAAATAAAATAGGATCCTTATTCAAAGGCGGCCATTTTAGTCATACCTAAGATTAATGAACTATTCGCATCATTTAGAGGTCTAAATTAATTTATCAAATGTATCCCATTATAACATGTTGCCTTTTAAACATTTACGTTGGTGCCCCGACCACACAATGAAACCTTGATATTTTACAGCAGTGAGTTTTTCTAGTTAAAAAACAAACAGTGAGCCTTCGACTGTTGGCTGAACAGAGACAACACATCCGACAGTGTAGGCAAAACCCAACATGTAAGCAATCCCTGACTCTGGCTGAATATAAAGAAAAACATCTGGCAGTGTAGGTGAAACGCTAAATTTAACAAATATGTTTTCATAGAAAAACAACTGGATAAAATCATTAGAGCTAAAATGTAATAAATCCTAAGAGATCAAACCTCAAAAAACCAACGTCCTATCAAATCAAAACTAGTTAAAATGTAAACTTTAATGTTTAAAGTAAATTAGTCGTACCATGCGATCCCCCCCCCCAACCACACACACACACACACACACCTGGTGTAACTATCCGTAATTAATAACAGTATGTAAATAATATAGCCAATTATTATCACATTGATTTTCACATTGCCCTCTACGGGTAATCCAATATTCCATCTTGATTAACAAAATTGTATGTCCGTTTCACCTACCATTGTTACGTTTCGTTTCATCAATTTTTGTGTTTGTATTTTTGGTTTGTTGTTCTTGTTTTTTTTTTTTTTTTTTTTTTTTTTTTTTTTTTTATATTTTTTTTTTATTTTTTCTTTTTTTTTTTTTTTTTTTTGTTTTTTTTTTTTTTTTTTTTTTTTTTTTTTTTTTTTGGTTGATTAAAAATCATTTTTAACTTTTCCATTCTATTTTTTTTTCTTAAATTAAAACAAAATAAATATATATGTATGTACAAAACAAAACAAAAAAAGAAAAACTTGACTGATTGTGCAAGTTTAAAATTCCTAGCCCCTACTTAACTTCTGAGGACACAACGCAAAAAAAATGAAGCATCAATAATGAGTATGCATGTACAGCATGTTGGGGAGAGATACGACTGGTGGTCACGACTAAACCGAAGACGTTAGTGTACAGTTTTAAAATCAGGCGAGGCTTAAAAGTGGAAATATCCCATCAATGTTTACCTTACTTATTTTTCAATCTTTAATTCCTCCATGAATGTACAACTGTCATAGATGAAATATATTAATATCAATTTTTTTTTCGGGATATAATGCATTGTTTTGTTAAGTAGAAATAACAGGAATTTAGGGAATTATGATAGAGAAGATAATAGACAGGGAGACTTGGAGATATTCCTTATTTAGCGCTGGCTATGTTAATTCTAGTTATTAATCAGCATCTTAATGTTGGTGAAAACTGAAAAAGTTGTATGAAGAATTATATTTTGCTCTGATCTACAGAGATATTGTTTCATTGTCTTTCCGTTCATCAGTCAATGAATGTCGTGATGCTAATTCAAGAAGTCATCTGGTACTTGTTTGGATGAACATGGACGTATGAATATATGGACATGGGCGCCCGCAGAAAACTTTCTATTGGGGGAGGGGGGAACCGATTAACTTTTTAGGTGGGACAGAAATTTCTTAGTAATGTTTTAATGTAGTTTTAATTTACTGTAGCGTATTTGTATGGTGAACGAACGGACAAGACATCAGCTTAGTTACTTTCTCTTTCTTAGTTACTTTCAAATGCCCCCACCCCCTGCGGGCGCCCATCTATATGGATGTATAGTGTAAGCGATAATTACAACTACACAATGTAACATCATAACCCACACATTTATATGATGCGATACGACAACGATAGCCAGAATTCAAGGACATGATAAAATTAGAACGAAATGCAGTCCAAAGACCTTCCTACCCAAAGATTTCGGTGGCTCAAAATTTAGGAACATTTGTGCTTAAGATATTAACAAGTTTGCATAAGTGCATATCGTATTATCGCAATGAGGTAACTGAGTGTAACATAGGTGTAAAGGGCTGACATCAATGAATTATGAAAATTAGACTTCATTTGATTGTTTCAAAAAGATAGATCTGCCGCTTTTGTAGAATACAATATATGTCGATCTGTACGTTTATGCATGCAATGCATTGTACGAACCGATAACCGGTTTAAAACTTACATCCTATGACCGGTAACCGGTTTGTCTAAAACAAAACGACATTAACATTCTAAATTTCTCGACAGTACTAATTGCCACTACAGAATCTGGTAAAGGGAGATAAGAAAGACATAATTTTGTAAAGTCTTATTGTTAAAGGAGTTATTTCAAAAGATTAAATAATTTGGTAAAATTCTGTCATTTGTATTCCTCATTTGTGTATGTGATATGCCTTCCACTGTTTCTCTCTCTACTTCTAATTCCGTGTGGATTCCTTGACATAAGAGCTTAGTAATGTTTGATTTTTATATTCCTCAGTGTGTGGACTCCTCTGTATTTTCTTCCTCACTTGATAATTTCCTGGCAGTGGCGTAGCTAGGTTAGTTTCTTAAAAACTACCGCCCGAGACGGATTGCTCACTCCAGCCCACCCTTCGTACGCCTAAATGTCTCTAATAGAGCAAACTATCATCTAAAAATCTATTATTAAAGCTATAAATATATCATCACAATGTTTCGCTGTTATCGTCATACTAAAGCTTTAAGCTGTCAAAGAGAGCTGGCTAGATATCACTGTAAAAATATTTAGTCTTGTACAAAACACTCGTGTGGGTCCGTGTAGGTGACGTTACTATTTCATTCGTTGACCAACCTCCTCAAACCTCATAGGTGGCGGAAAATATTTTTTTAACCGGGTCTCTTTAAATTGTAGTTCTGACTGGGTCTCGGAGGAGAATAAAAAATGACATCGCAAAATCAAACATTGTAAACATGTCTGAAGAAGTGCGTCTCAGAGCGTCGAAAGGGGAGTCACTCTCCAGAATCTTGCTAGAGATTGCATCCGGAAAAACAACAACTTCTACAGCCTTTTAGTTAGCATTAAATTAAGCACCATGTAAATATAAAAAAAACCAACTTGTGTGGTAAAAAAAAAAGAAAAAAATTCCATTGTCTCGTATAAAAGACATTTATAATAACTTTTCTAAAATCTTCGTTCCACATCTGGGATCCCAATCACAGAGAGAACCAAATGGGATCCCGTTACACGATGGTATTCCAGAAGCATCCCGACACCGTTTGGTATAATAAATTGAATATAATCCTCAAAACGTGTAAAAAATAAATTTTGTACGTAATTATTTTTGGAATATGTAACATATAACTGAATGCAATACTATAACTATGATACATTTAAGTTCAAAAAGGGGTCCCACCGGAGGCCCCTTAAATTATTGTACCCAATTAGTTGTGCCCGAGATATACTAAGACAATACCTTCTGTTGCTTTGTATCTGATTATTACACCTGTGACTAAACCAATACATATTTCTACATATCTATATCTATAACTAACTAAACCTACACACCTATAACTATAGCTCTATACACCTATTTCACACAGTGCAACGGAGGCACGGATTTCCTTGTAACAACCATCAACTGTCTATCACGTCTCTAGCGCATAATGATTTATTTGAAAAAGCAAA